AGCTCAGCTGCAATCTTTTTGCGTGTATTTGCACTTAAAATTCAAGTGTTTGTCGCTTCTTCCTTCCGCCTAGGCAATTTTCCACGAAAAGCAGTTCGTTTTTCATTGTGCATTCGTTGCGGTCAGCGCGGAGGAGGGCGGGCGAGGGGTCGAGGACAATTCATCGGGCACTCGAGCTGGAACAATTAATGCGAGGACCACCAACAGTTCGGGGATTCATTGTTGCAACAGGTAAGGTTAGGTTTTGGTTTTGGGCTAGGGATAAGTTAGGCCCAGGTAGATGGAGCTTAAGTCTTACAGTTATTTTACTGAGCACAAAGATATATCCTACTTTTCTTTACTCTACTTCAGCTGAGCTCTATTCATTATCAGATGATGCACAAAGATGAGAGATGAGAGAGAAAGGGAGAAAGAGAGAGAGAGAGAGAGAGCAGCGACGGCAACTTCCTTTTTTGGACATTACGCAATCAGTTTTTTTTTTCTCTGCACCCGAAAAACTGTTACGTCTAACCACGCAACGTCCACACCCTACCCTAGCCCCCCCCCCTCGCGCGATCTATAGGTTTTTGCTTTTTTTCAGTGTTGCAAGTAGAAAGAAAATTACCTAATTGTGTTGCATCGACAACGAGCAACAGCGACTTTTTTTCCACAACATTACTCTACTCCACTTCTTGCTTGGCCACACAGCGTACCCCCCACCCCCCGCGCTCCCCTTGGTGCGGCTCCTTCGTATGTGTGCCACATGCTCCAAAGGAAAATTAAAAATGTGCCACAGACACAAGAAAACGGCGGGCATATACATATATGTATCTATCTATTTTTTTTTTAGTTAGTTAGTTAGTTGTGCACTTTTATTGTTGTTGCTTTGCAGTTGCTTTGCCCGCTGATTCGTTTGTTTCTTTCTCTTTGGCGTCGTTAGATAATAGGCAACAACAAGAGGAGGCACCGTTAAAGCTGAACCCCAAAAGCCATTTTGTTGTTGTAGTTGTTGTTGTTGTTGTTGCTGCTGCTGCAGTTGTTGTGTCGGCGGCATAAGTCAAGCAAGACTTCCTATATTTTGAAACACGTTACGTTCGTAACATAATTCACACAACAGGTTACTTGGTTCGCCTGCTCGCCGGCCATGGCAACAGCATATCGTCTCTCGCTCTCGCTCACTCGCTCTCTCGCTCACTTGCTCTCTCTCTCTCTCTCAGCAGCTTTGCAGAGTTCGAGTTCGAATACGAGATCGAGAGCTGGGAAATGTGTGCGGTTGTTGTGAGGCTGGGAAATTATCGGTGCATCGGGAAATTATTGATGCCATTGTATAACGCATTTCCACATTGCAAGATCATTGTTCAAAGTAATTAAACTCTGTTCTTAATATACTATATCAAGTATTTGATAAAAATAATTGCGCGTCAGCCACTTTTATATACCCTTTAAAATCATAAATTTATCAAAACATCAATTAGACCCTTTCAAAAATATATATATAGATAAGATGTTCAAAAATTTGTATACCTATGACCATATTCCATATCTATCATACACAAAGCGTATTTCATTTTCGGCAACAATAAAAATGAAACCTGTGGATTTATTGATCTATAAGTGCTTCAGTGGGAGTATTAAATATTTAAAACAAGTTTATTTGCGTTTGGCATAAGAGAGAGAACCTAATTTAATAGCTCTAACGCTCTAACTATCTCCCTCTTTTAACAGTTATATAACTTTGTGCAACTTTTATCATACCCTTATTACCCATTTTATGTTTGGCATATAAAAACGGCAATATAAGCTCCGGTGTGGTGAGGGAAGCTTAGTGCTGATGTTTTTTTTCTACGTGAATTCGCACGATCTTTTAGCTGTGTTGAAAGATAGGCGGCGATAGCTTACACGCACACGCACACATATAAACACACTCTCTTGTGCGGCGAATTGGAGACAGCACAATGGAAGCTGTGAACATTTATGGCAAATTCAGGTTAGTGTGATTTTTGTGCACTATAAAATGGGTCGTTGTTGTTGCTGCCGCTGCACAAGTGGCTGTCATAATGCTAAAACGTGTATGTGTGTGTGTGTGTGTGCGCGTGGTGCAAAGTGTTTACACAATACGCGAGTGTTTGTGTGTATGAGTGCATATTGCAAAACATCAATATAGCACACAGCAACAGCAAAAACAACACACACAATGGCTACATCTGCGCTGGGCGATAACACGCAGCAAGAAAATCAAATAACAACAACTACAGCAAGCAAGCCAGCAAATACAATTGCTATGCGCGCTACTTCCGCATGCAAGTTTAAACAACTAAAAGTCATCGGCGTCAGCGGCAAAACAAAAAACAAAAAAAAACAACAGCAGCAGCAAAAGAAAAATTGCGACTGCGACTCATTCTCAGTGCAGTTGGCGTGTGCGTGTATGTGTGTGTGCGACTGTGACTCAAAGATCGTCGAGTAGCATAAAAAGAAGAAGCAAAGCGCTGAGACAGCAGCCAAGCCCCAACAGCAATGACAACAACAACAACAATAAATGCGCATTTTAAATTGAGTGAGCCTTAAGCCCTTCAGACTCAGATCATATTAATTAAAGAGCAGCGCAAAAGAGAGCAAGCGTCACAATTGCTTTACTTTTCATTATATTACTGTTGCTGTTGCTGCTGCTGCTGCTGTCGTTTGCATTGGCATTTGCTTCCTCTTTCTTTCATTGGGCTGCTAGCCTTTGCCTTTACGCCGCCTCCTTCTACCTGCTGCGCTGAACACTTTTTATACCTGTTTCTGCTCTAGCAAGCAATACACATGAACAATTGTCTCGGTGTGTGTGTGTGTGAGTGTCTCCCCAATTGCCATGCTGCTGACCCGAAAGATCGTCGTCGTCGCTGCCGCTCTCTTTTGCTTTTGCTTCCGTACACTTAGTGCTCTTGCTCTTACGTTAAGGCGTCGCGCGTCTCTTACGTGTGCCACACACTCACCCGTTACGTCGCGTCGCGTCGCTTTTGTGGAGCAATGCGGAAGTGAATTTAATTTATTGTATTTACGCTGGCTTTTTCTGCCCCACAGACAGAGGCAAACAGACGGACGTATAAACAGTGAGAACCAGGAAAGTTAATGGCTCTACACAGCTAGAAATCCATAAAATCGCTGTTTCAGTTGGAGAGATGTCTGTTTTGTGCTTGTGTGTATGCATGTGTCGACATATTTCTACGTTTTGTTTCGTTTTTCGCTAATTGGAGAGCCGAACATGTTAAATAAATAACACGCACACGCACACACACATACATATTTATGTACATATGCACATACATACATACTTGTATACGCGCACACATAATCAAATTTATCGACGAAAATCTTAGCTCTCCGTAAGGGAGCAGCGAGGGGGGGGGGGGGGGGGTAGGTAGCATGATCAGGTGCGCTGTTTCCTTGCCTTGCGCTGCCGCCGCCGCCCAAACAGATTGAGCTTTTTTTTTTTATTATGAGTGTATGTGTGTGTTTGTAGCTATACCAGAAGCAGGAACTGTTCGCTGATTCGTTTCAGCAGCAGCGACGTCGACGTCGACGGCGGCAGCGACAGCAGGCGCACAAACAAACAGAATTCTGCTGCAGCAGCAGCAGAGCGGGCCGTGCGATAAGATTTCGCTGACGTACGCTTCAGAAGAGACACAGTAAAAATGCGGCAACAGGCGGCGAGAACCAGCGGCAACAACAACAACAAATAAGAACCGTAACATCAACCCAATTGGAGCTTAACGCTCCGCTTTTGTTTCACTTCCATAGAAAAAAGTGCATGCAACAAGAGACCCGTCGAACCCAAAGCAAACCCAAACCAATCCCCCAAGAAAAATAGCCCGAAACGAGCCCGAAAACCCAGTCGAGCGATTGCCTTCAATATGGATCAACATATTTGTACAGTGGTACCTCACGAATGAAGAATGCTTCGTATTCAAAACTGATTCTTATTAAAAAGAGAAAAACAACAGTTTTTATTAAACATTTAACTAGAAATATTAACTGTAAAAATTCTATCTTAAATTCTATCTTACAATAGCAGTTATTTTTTAAAGGCGTTCTCATTCGCGTGTGACTACTGTAAAAGTTGTATAAAACAGTTATACGAGTAAGCACAACATTTCTAGGTTAGGTACATTTAGTACAATCAGTGCATTTGCTTCTTCCTCATTTTGCTTTAATCTTAATTGATTAATGTCTGAGTGCCATTTGAGAGGTGTGAAATCATGAGTTCCGTATGAAAAATAAATAAAGACAAAGATGCGCTTTTTTCAACTGTTTAGAAAAAGCTATTTCATGTTTATTTTTAGGCAACAGATTTTGCTTTTTTATTAAGTTAGTAAAACGAATCCACAGTCTAGAAATAGACTGTATCTAAAGAAGATAATGCGCTCTAGTGTTGTAAAGGGCTCAAACAAAGTTGTAGTTATCTTGGGTAGAAGGAATTGAAATTTGTTGACCTCAACAAAATAAGAAAAACCTGAGAAATCGTTGTAAATAATTGTTGTACAGATTGTCGGAACATGACAGAAACAATAAAAACGCAGCGTATGTAGACAATTTAAAGAGATTAACGTTAAAATTTATCAACTTTCGGGTGACAACTTTTGTAGGGCCATATCAGGGGGGAACACAGAATTGTGTATCATATTAAGTGTGAGATGAAAGAAAACATATGGAAATGAGAGAAGGTCAGAAATACAAGTAAAACGTGCTGGAGAAAAAAAAAACAAATGATTGTGTAAAAGATGTATAGTGAAATCTCTTTTCCCGAAGCAAACAAACATCGCATAGAAGAAAATGGCAAATGATTTTAAAATGGCGACAAGAAATCTGGAAAAAAATGTAAGTTTTCAAACATCCATTTTCAATTATTATCAGTATTAATAGAAATATGTAGAAATTAGAAAAATTTATAAATCCATTTCTGTTTTCCTATTATATTTAATATTTTTTAAGATATCTCATTCAGCAGAAATGTGTAAAAAAAAAGTATATTCTTTGCTTACCTGTTTGCTTTTGCTCCACTGTGCCGTGACGTAGGTCGCTGTTGTTGTTGTTGTTGTTATTGTAATGACCGTTGTCTGTTTGCCGTTCTGTTAAGCTTAAAGCTCTCAGCGACAGCGCAACGCGGAAGCGGATATGTTGTCCAGATCCAGAAAACGCGCGTTACACTTGTTGTTAATGTGTTGTTGCTTCTGCTTGTTCTTCTTCTTCTTTGACGACGCTCGCCTTAACTACAACTGCAGCACTACTACGTAACGTTACGTTAGCCGAACGTCACGCGACGTAATGCATGCACTTTGCTGCTGCTGCTGCTGCTGCGACGACAGCCGATTTCCTGGTTCTGCTGAGACGCGTCGTCGTTCGCTGCTACTGCGACGCGACGTCAAGTGGCCATTGTGAAGTGACTTGGTAGCTGCGACTGGGGACCAAGGGTACGTTACGTTAATCCTGTGTTGACCGTTGCTTTTATCGCTGCGCTGCGCTTGCTTTAAAAGTGTTTTGTGTATGTTTTCTTATTTGCCATTGCAAGCGAATGTCAGCGCCAAAAGGGAATGGCGCACAGAAAATAACAAAACACAAAAACAAATCGAGCGCAAGCTGGAGACGTTATAGAGGAAGAGCAGGCCGCAGCCACAAAGAGCACAAAGTACTTCCGTCTCTTCCTGCCTCACACACACATACGCACACAAAAACACAGCCGTTGCGCGTTGCACTTGTGCTGGTCCCTGCTGTTGTCGTCGTTGTTGTTGTTGTTGTTGGTCTTGTTTCTTTGCTTTGGCCCTTTTTCACCCACGGTTCACATGCGCTGCGTACAAGTAGAAAGCACACAACAATAAAAAACTGCTTCCTTTTTACTTTTGCTTGCACACTACTTGTTGTTGTCGTTTTTTCTTTTTGTTGCGCTCTGTTCGCCTAATTTTTGTTTATTTCGTTTTTGTATATTTTGATTTGAGAACAGCCACAAAAGGAAAACTTGGCATACACAGTTATTTAGCTATTCTTTGCTTTGTTACTCGTTCTCGTCGACGGCGGCGTCGGCGGCTTTTCTTCCACTTTTCGTTGGATTATTGTTATGTTTTGATTTGTCAAGCGATAAATTCAACTTAAAAATTATTATTGCTGTTGTTTTTGTTGTTGTTGCTGCACTTGTTTATTTTATTTTTTGCTGCTGCTGGTGCGCGCGCGTTGAATTGAATTCAATTAATTTTTAGAATATTTTTGCACAATTACAATTCGGTATTATAATTATTGTACAACAAATTTTTTTTTGATTTCTTGTTCCGCAGCAACACGTCCGCTCACCACGAAAGTTTCTTACGTTGTGACTCAAAACATGCGAGTAAGAAATAAACAAAGCAAACGACGAAAACTGAGACCGCGCGCGCACCAGAGAGCATGCGCATTTGAGCGCATGGCGAGCGTGAGCGTGAGAATTTAAGAGAGCTTGTTCGCCAAAGAGAAATGAAGAAATTGAAATTTATTTGTTTGATTTTGTTCTCAGTTTTCTTGTTCTTGTTTACAATATTTGTCTTCCGAATATTTGCACGTTGTTTATTTCCTTTAATATATGTTTAGGTACAGATATTTTATACGAACAATGAGGTTATACAAATTTAAAAAAAATAAAAATATATATTTTCGTTATTTATTCAGCTGGTCAATATACAGGTGATCGTGCGATGAGAGCAATTAATATATGCATAATTATAAGCTAATTGTTAATGTATTTCCATTCAGTGGGTTTCTGGTTGTGTGTTTAGTAATCCAATCAAGTCGAAAATGTTTTAATTATTTATACCTACATATACATATATATTTGTTTATATATGTGGGATTTTGGCGTGGGCGTCGATTGACTTGTTAATCATCTGCGATAAAAGCGAATACAATCGTTCATCGATTAGCTAATAGAAGGTGGGCTGCAGCAACATGCTCTTCACGGCTGAGCCCCTAGAAACCAGTCGACCCAAACTTCAATTAACCAACACTGTTCAGCTGCAGCGCGACATTTCCGTTAAAAAAAAAAGCAACTCTTATTTGCCTACATAAATTAGCAGCCAAGACTTAAGAGTGAGAAAGAGAGAGAGGGCGACAGGTTGCCATAAAAAGTAGCCAAAGATGCGCTCAGTTGCGTTGCGATGCATCCGCTTGACTTTTGCGCTGGGGATTTTTCTTTTTTTCTTTTTTTGTTTTGTTTTTCTTTCCTTTTTTTTCATTTTAAAAGTTCGTTAACCAGTTTCCCTAAACATCGTTGACATTTGAAGTCAAATGCCCATAAACGGCGGCGATCGCTCAACTGTCCCCTCCCCCCCCCCCTCTCTCCCTCTCTCTCGCACTGGCCCAAATTAGTAGATGTTGTTGTTGTTGGTTCTGGTGCGTTGGCATAAGCAAAGAGCGAGACAGCTGAGCGCGCGAGAGAGAGAGAGAGAGAGAGGCAGCAGGATTGTGGCAGCGGTTCAGAGTTCAAATAGTCGTCCAATTGAGCCAATCAACATATTTTCTGCGATCAGCAACAATTCTTTATTTTTTTTTTTCGCCATTCGCAATGGGCGCGTAGGCGTGCCGGTTGCAGGTCGTAGGTGGCAGTTGACGCGGCATCAACTTACTTAATTTTGAATTTGTTGTGTGCGCGTGTGTGTGTGCGTGTCGGTGTGTGCAACCTGCCGCCGTCAATCTGGCAAGTTTCGTCTGTGGCACGGCCCGTCGCAAGTTCGATGCCCAAGTGCAGATAATACATTTAAATAGAATGCCACATACAATGTCCAGAGTTCGCTCTTGCCACACATAGGACACACACACACACACACACACACACACACACGCACACACATGCGCATACATATACATTTAAGCTGCCCAGACACAAACCGTTTTCATTTTGATGCGCACCCTGCGAATCCCCTGTCCTAAATATTGAGAGACACAGAGAAAGCGAGTGAGAGAGAGCGAGGGAGATAGAAAGATACGTCGGCTCTATAAATAGTATTGCTTGGGCCCGGCGATCTGTCCCGATGCGGAAGTCTTCCAGACGCTTCACTTTTTGGTCATTTGCCAATCGCACAAATTATTAGCACTAAAATGCGCACAGCAGGCGGGGGAGGTGTACCCCAACTATATATATACACATATATATACGTATTATGTGTGCATATTCCCAGTATGTCTGGAGCGCCAGTCAATTGGAATGCCATCGAAAATTTACTCTATACTACTTTTGTAATTAAGTAAAGAATATTGTTTATGCCCATTTAATTGCCTTTTAAGAATTGAGCCTAAGATTTCAACTCGATTTTCGAAATTCAGTTAAGTAAGGTCAAAGTTAATATGAATATGCCCAAGATTCGTTTATACTAATAACATAATTAACAGCACATCAGTCGGGCAATCAGGCAGTCAATCATTTAGTACGTCAATCAATCAGTCAGCTAATTAATTAATCTGTAACTAATCTGCGAGTCACTTGGTCAGCCCTTCTGTCAAATAGTCGGTTAAACATTTAGTTCGTCAATCAGTCAATAAGTCAACCAGTCACTTGGTCACTAAATCAGTCAATCAGTCGGTCAATCATTTACTTCGTCAATTAATCAGCCAGTCACTTGGCCGCTCAATAAATCAACCATTATGTCACTCAGTCAATCAGTTAGTCGATCAATCAGTCAATCAGTTAGTTTGAAAATAAGTTAATAAAATAATAATAATAAGTCAATAAAATAATCAATCAGTCAATTAATAACTCAGCTAATCAACCAGTCAGTCAGCCATTTGGCCAGTCTATCAGCCAATCAGTCAATCAATCGGTCAGTCAGTCAGTCAGACTTTTGTTCTGTCAATCAATCAACCATTCAGCCAGTCAGTCATATTCTGTCATCAATCAACCATTCAGTCAGTAAGTCAATCAGTGAGTCGATTAGTCAGTCAGTCGGAAAATTAGTCTATAAATTAATCAGTCATTTAATTAGGCACTTATTCATTTGCCCATTCAATCAATCAGTGTGTCAGCTATTTTTTTTAGTCAATCAATCAACCATTCTGTAAGTCAGTCAATCAATCTACTATTCAGTCAGTTAGTCGATCAGTCAGTAAGTCAGTCAGTAACTCAGTCAGTTAATCAGTCAGTCAGTCAATCAGTCAGCCAGCCAATCAGTCAGTAGGCAATAAATTAAGTGAAGTGAACCTGTCATTCATCCAGTCAGTCAATCAGCTAGGCTATCAATCAGTCAGTCAATCAACTAGGCTATCAATCAGTCAGTCAATCAGCTAGGCTATCAATCGGCCACTCAATTAACTAGTCTATCAATCAGTCAGTCAGGTCAAACTCTTAACATAGATATTCAAAATATTTCGATAACTTTCGCAGCAGGTTTTTCTCCTCCTTCAATCAAAAGTATTATTCCAAATTGATATTCAATGAAAATCGTTTCATAATTATCCCAACTTGTTACACAAACCCTGGGCGGAGGGGGAGGGGCGGCTTCATCCTTGGACCGCCTACACAGGAGCTGACAGGATTTTCAAGCAGAAAAGGATCTTCAGGGAAGTGAAACAATAGGGTCCTTTCGTTACACGTAAAAGTAATTAAATTGAATATTGTTTTTGGAAAGGATATTAAGTGCAGATCCTGGTTACCCTAATTGTTACACATTCCCTCTCTGGCAACAATGACTAATTGTACGATTTTTGCCGCCATAAAAGATCTTTTTGACAGTTGCCAGGACTTGGGATCAGCTGGGTGAGTGTGTGTGTTTGTGTGTGTGTGTGTGTGCAGGATATGATCGTACAATGTGCAGCCAGACGAGCCAGAAAGGAAAGAAGAAACCGTGGGAAACGAGCCCAGGAACCAGAACCGAGTGCCTGAAGAACGCACTCAAGCAAGACACAAAGAACAAAAGACCAAAAAAAAAAAAAAGCGAGGAAAAACCGATCAAAAATCAAAGACCTGTGCAACGATCGCCCACAAATCGATCTACAACGCACTCGGCACTCCGGCCGGGGGATTATGGCATCGGGGAATGCGAGTTTCGTGTTCTAATTTAGCGCACCGAAGCAGAACGTAAAGCAACAAACCCAAACACAACAAACTGTTCCAACTTTAGGGGTTGGAAATGTGCCGATGATCGGGATCGGGATCGGGATCGCATCGCCGCAAGTGCCTGCCCCAGAGCAGGTTCCACACCACAGCCATTGTGTTAACTCCGGTGAAAGGTTTCAGATTTCATGCAACGAGTGCATTGTGCAACCGAGATGCGATACGAGGCAGATCGTAGCGAAGTGGCGATCGCTGCGGCGATCCTCGAGGCCAGGATAAACAGAGTGTGCGTCCCCAGTTGCTGCTTTGGCTTCTCTTGCAACGTGTGGAATGTGAAATTTTATCAATTAAATATCGCTGACACACACACACACACACACATAAACACACTCAGATTCGAGTTGTTTATTGTAGATCAGCTTTGTATCCGTAGTTAAAGTCGTTGCCGCCCGAGGTTAAGGCGGAGTTGCAGCTAGAAACCAGTGCTGCCCATTTTTCAGAAACAAGCAGGCTAGCTCTAGCGGGAAAAATGCTATATATCCATTTTTGAAAGATATGCCTTGTGTATTTGAATATACTTTAATATTTTTTAAATATTTTGAAATACTTTTGTGAAAAATTATAAAACGAATAATTTTTGAGTGATTTTTGTGGTTATATTTAAATAATTTATATATATAAATATAGGTGCTATAGCTTTGCTTTAATTGAAAAATAATCAAAATAATATTTAAATAATTTATATTTGGAAATATAGAAATATAGCTTCTATAATTAAATATATATAAAAAAGTTTTTGCGTTGATTGAAAAATAATCGAAAAATCATATTTTTTTAATCTATTTTTTATTTTTATATTTTAATACTTTTTGTAAATTTTACTAAATAAAAAATTTGCGTGTTTTATTTTAAATTTTACTTAAGTTTCTTTAAAATGAATGTATAAATGTTAGCGTAAAAAAAAATTTACATGTATTTGATTATATTTATAAAATTTAAATAAAAATGTATATACAACATTTATACATTAATTTTTAAAGGACCTTGAAAAATTTGATTTAAAATACGACAAATCATTTTTGAGCGATTTTTCAATCAAGCTCTGACTCAGATTCTCATTTGTAAGGAGCGTGAAATAAACTAAGAATATTTATTTAAATATATAAATAAATATTTATATAAATAAAAAAATAAATAAATATAAAAATATATAGACTTGAAGAGTATTATAATGCCTATATATTAAAATATTTATTTATAAAAATATATAATTAAATATATAAATAAATGATTAATATC